CAGGAACATTAATGGATGCAAGTTTTGGTATTTAATTTTTCCTTACCTTGCTCCTCTTGATAATGACGCCAGCTTCAGTGATGAAGTTCGCGAGGAATTGCACATTCTGATGAGAATGGAAGTAGTAAGTACAAATCAGAATAATCGGCGACAATAGTAAGGTAATAACACGCTTAAGCAGTCAACAAATATTTCGGTTCTTATGTGTTCATCTAGCCCGCAAAGAAATGGGTGCAAAACAATTTTGAGAAATAGTATACGGGGAGTCACTGTATAATGGAACAATATGTGAATAAGAATAAAATTATGATCAATAAGATGTTCAACTGACACAAAGTATCAGCTTTTTAGTTCTCTTACAGTGCCTGAATAAATTTCGATTGTCAAGAAATTTTGCCAACTCAGTATCATTTTACTTGAAACCAGCAATTTATTTACAACTTCTGCTAAAAACAAGCTCACGTACCCATAAAGAAAAATAAAAAAGTACAACTGAGATTCCGAACATCCTTACCCTGAAATCAGCTTTGAGCAACACTTCCTCAGTTGTTGTTTCAAACTCGGTCCTTATGGGAGGCTTACGTACGCCTGGCTTTCTCAAGTCAAGATCCTAACGTGTCATGGCATTAAGTATACATGAGTATGGAAATCAAAACTATACCAAATGGCTGAGTGTAGATTGGTTTCAACTCATTTGAACAGTTATCAAGCTCAAGTCCAAAACTGAAGTACCATATATATTATGGATTATAAAATAGATATAAGGCAACTCTGAACAAGATAACCACTTGGCATTAGAGCAACATGCTTATTCCTAGAACATAAACCCACACAATAAATAAAACCTTATTATAGCCTGATTTCACAAATTCTTCTCACGTTTTTTTTATACCTTGGTATCATAAGTCATCCCGCTCAGGAAATTCACATCTGGCCTGAAAGCGTAATCCTCTCTAGTTACTTCCTCAGGGTCGAACTCAAAGTACGAGGCGGCTTTCTTTAGTTTATCATCCATCCCATCAATTAACGAATTATGATCATCATCCAGGACGTCCATGAAACTCGGCCTGTTCCCCGAATTGAACGTGTTACCGAACCCAGATCGATCGTGCGCCTTCTCGGCCTTGTCGAGCTTTTTGTAGAATGCATTCGAGCTACTATTAAGGTTTCCATCGCCAAAAATGCGTTGCTCAAAATCATCAACAGATTCAGATGCATTTGAGTTCAGCCTGTCCTTAATACCTGGCCAAATGGGACGAGTTCATACTTAACCAACAAATTGAGAGTGATGTGTGTTTGAACCAAGACATATACTACAAGCGGTTTAGGCTCCAGTTGGATCTTGATATCCACACATAATAGAAATGGAAAGATTATATTTTTATTCAATGAAAAAGCTCCCAATAAATTGAATGAACACGATCGGCTTAAATCTATATCACTCCCCAATTTGTGATATTCAACTACAAACAGATTTAGGAATTCGTCTCATGCTTAATATACAAGACAACAAATTAAGAAAAAAAAAAAAA